CCTTGGCTGTGGGAGCAGCACGGAGGAGGGTCTTTTCCGTTGGGAGCACGTATCATGGAGGGTGACAGAGGTCGGAGCAGAAGAGGCCAACAATCGACGCATCTGTAATTGCACTTGCAAAGCTGCCCGAAGGGTAGGAGTCACCGTGAAGGAGGCATTCTAGGGAAGGACGGCAGAGAGGGAGAGCAGAGCGTGGACAGGGGGTCGCGGAGAAGACATTTGAGCAGAGGCCCGAGGCCCGTGGAGACGCTGGCCCTGGTGAGAAAGGCAGAGAGAGGGTCCCAGCAGACAGCAGAACATGCAAGGGCGCAGGGCCGGGCTGGGGCTTGCTGTGTCTGAGGCGTTTAAAAAAAACAAACAAAAAAACAAAAAAACTGCGCCCGGGGACACACGCGACTGAGGGCAGAGCAGGTCAAACTGAGGCTGGGGAGAGCCGGGCAGAGCCGGGAGGCGTGGCACCTCGTGGGTTGTCGCACAGATCACAGTTGGATTTTGTCACAGATGAATGGGCAGCGGCCCTCAGGCAGGGGATCACTGCGACTTTGAGAATGAAGGCGATGATTTCAGACCCTGTGCGAGTGGCTGGTGGACACAGGGAGGAGAAGTGGGCTGGTCCAGGTAAAAGGCAGAAGGGGCGTCCCTTAAGATGGCGACAAAGGACATGCAGAGAAGCAGGCGGATTTGAGACACGTTGTGGAGCTAGAAACTGGCCCGCCTTGCAGATGATCTAGAGATGGAGATGTTGGTCAGGGACAACATCCCTAGGTCGCTGCTCCCAGGAGGCTCTGCCCCTGAGTCTTCAGGACCCAAGGAAAGCTGGGACTTTGTTCTTTCCCCTCTGCTTGGACGCTCTCTTACACCTTCTTCTGTAATTAGCAGATCATAGACAGACCCTCCTCAGCCGCACACCTCCCACAGCTCGGTCCAAAATTGTCCTGGCTGGGACTTTGTTGCCTGATATTTGGAATAAACACCTGCAGATTTTGAGTCCATGGATCGGTAGGAGGGCTGCCCACCTCATGCCCACCCCCAGCTGCCACAAGTCGCTTTGGCCTGGGATGCCAGGTGAGCTTGATTGTTCTGCTCTCGTCCCTTGGACAAGTGGGGGCATTTCTGCAGAAACACTGGCTTCAGGGACCCAGGAGAGAATCAGTCAGGTCAGGCTCTGCTGGCACCCTGTGGGTGCTGGTCTCCTGAGTGCCAGGCTCCCAGGCCCTGGAGCAGACTCAAAGACCCCTGACTCAAAGTTGGCCCAAAACTCTGTCAACACTGTGTGTTGCCACCAGAGGACCAGAAGTGTCATGGCAAAATCTGGGCTTTGAAACTGAGAGCATGAAATGAGCACCCCGAGGCCTCCACATTCTTCGAAGTGACCTCTCTGACCCTCTGTTTCTTCTGTGCTATTATGATAACGATACCAGCTCTGTGTTACTGCGAAGAGCTATAAATGAGCTAAGGCAGATGAACTAGAGAGGGACCCAGGGATAGGTACCAGGAGCTACAAGGGAGATGGAACGAGGTGTCCTTCCTCAGGGCCATAAAAGGAGCCAAGAGGCAGCGTGACCACCAGCAGAGGAATCTGGATTTTAATCCAGTTTCATTACTCACTGGCTGGGACAAGCAAGTCCATTTTGTTGAGCCTCAGTTTATTCGTCTGTAAAGTGGGATTAATGATGCTTACTTTTGGTGAAGATTAGATGTGGTAATATTTATAGAGCAACTTAATAGGTCCTTAATAAATAGGAGCTTTAATAAAAGAGAGAGTGCGGGCTTGAATGCAGCAATATTTCTGTGTCCCACACCTGCAGCCCAGGACAGTCCGAGTGAAGTTGGGGACCTCTCCAAAGAGACTTGCTCCTCAGAAAGGCCCGGTGGGCACTTGGTCAAGTGGCTTTGGCCCATCAGATCTCTGGTGTTCCGGGGGTGGGGACAGTGATCGGGAGGAGGGTTACTGGCTATGACATGTGACAGACCGCCGGCAGTTTATAGGTAAGCTGAGGCTAGGATTGGGGAAGGGCTGGCCCAGATCACCAGGTGGGAGGATGGGAGATGGGAGGCCAGAACCCTCCTCGCTCCCGCTCCCCAGTCAGCTGCCTCTGGGCCCCATCCAAGCAGGAAGCCCCCTCCTCATCTGTAGCTTTTCTTTGAAGGACTTTCTTTTGGTTCATTTTCAGCTCAGTGCTAATCGGCGGGGTGGGGGTGGGGGGTCGAGCCGAATTGTTCCTTCAGCAGCATCCTGATACACTGACGGTTCTAGCACTCGGCAGGAGGGACCGCGCTGTGCTGGGCAACTGATTAGTTTAAAGGACACAGAGATTAAACTACCCGCCATGGCCTTTATAAAAGGCCTCCTTGAAGGCAACTCTCAGGAACAGGAAGGGAGTGTCGGCACGGGAAGGCCAGACCATGTTTCTTAATTATCTGCAGATTAGGCACCGGGAACACAAAATCGGGAGGCTGTGACCCAAAAATGGAGGACCAGGGGTCTGGGGAAGCCAAATGGTGTGGTGATTTAGAGCGTGGGCTTTGAAAATCAGGACTGGATCTGAGCTCAAGCTTTGCCACTGTTAGCAAGTGGCTCAACCCCTCGAGCCTCAGATCACCCACCTGTAAAATGGAGCCAGCCGTAGAACTTACCTCCGTGGGCGGGTGTGAGGCTGAGAGAGGACAGCATGAGGACAGCGCCACACCTAACAGCGGATGCTGGCCACGTGCCCGGGCCTCCCATGGGCACGGTGACTGCCGAGGCTGCCATATTTGGTTCTGGGTAGCTGGAGATTCTGCATACAGAACATTCTAAATGTGCCTCCTTTGTGAGCTCAGGTGCAATTTGGAGGCCAGGGACGATACGTGCGACCTGTTCGAGTCATTCAGTTTTGCTCAAAGACAGGATTGCAGCCCAGGGCAGCCTGAGTCCCAAGCTCACTGATATTTCTCTGCACCCCAATCCCCCGGCCCCCCAACCTCACCTGCAGAGGGCCACTCTTCAAGCACTGTTCAAAGCAGCTTTTGGGACCCTTTGGAGTTTGGTTTTGAGTAGGTCACTTGGGGCCGGGGATGCCTGATGACATGGCGTCCGTCGGGGGAGATGCCAGGCTAAAGAGAAGTCACACAAGCAAGAGCTTTCGCCAAGAGTCCGTCTGGGGCTCAGCAACTTGGGACTCAGTTGTGTGACTGCTGCCAAGCTCACACGAGAGTGTGTGAAGCGTGTACCCCACGGCATGGCTGAGGAAACGGGGGTCTCCCATGGGCCTTCGGCCAGACGCTGCCACACCGACAGCTCGCACTTCGACGGCACCAGGTCTGCACCGGGCACCGTTCCAAGCACTTCACGTACGTTGACTCGTGAAAGCCCCCGGCCACCCCACCCCGACCCGGTGCAGGTACTATTGTTACCACATTGTACGGGTGGGGGACAGTGGCCCGGGGTGTAACTGACTTGCCTGAAATCACACTTGGAGGAAGTAGCGGCACCGAGATTCAATCCTAGGTGGCTGTAGACTCTGGGCTCTTTACAGGGGGTGGAGGGGAGACTTGGGGAGGCTGGGGCGCAGGGAGGGTTTCTGGTTGGAGACGAGGGGTCCGGGTAGATGGGCATGAGGGAGGAAGGGAAGGAAGGACTGAAGGCAGAGGACAAGGCCTGAGTGATGAAAGACCTTTCCCAGGGTCCCCCCGAGAGGCCATAGAGAGACAAAAGGTGAGGGGCTCCCCACTGGGGGATGGGAAGGGGCGAGTGGCTGACTGGAGCCTCCAACACCAGACATTTACGTCTCACCGTCCTGGAGTCCGGAAGTCCAAGATCAAGGTGTCCGTAGGGCTGGTTCCTCTAAAGCCTCTCGTTTCGGCTTGTAGATGGCCAGCTCCTCCCTGTGTGGTCTTTATTCTGCATGTGTTCATGTTCTCATCTCTTGTACGAGAACCAGTCAGATGAGATCAGGGCCCAGCCATATGACCTCATTTTAATTTAATCACCTCTTTAAAGACCCTACGTTCAAATACGGTCACATTCCGAGGTCTTGGGGGTTAGGGCTTCAACATTTAAATTCAGGCCATCAGAAAAGAGGAGGGAATGTCGGGTGCTCACAGTAAGGGTGCGATTCCCTTGAGGGGAAGATGCCTGTGAGGAGGGACAAGGTGGCCTTGCAGGGGCCCGGAGGAGGCCCTGGGAGAAGGAGGAGGGGACTGATTGGCATCCGTGTGTCCACCGATGAGTCTCAGGGGCCCGGCACCCTGCCTGCCACATAGTAGATGCTCAGTATGTATTTGCTGAGTGAACAAGGACAAATCCAGAAGTGCTGCGGGTCCCATGGGGGGTAGCTGGTCTGAATTCACAGGAGGACCATGAGGCCTTGCAAATGCTGCACACGGGGACCAGAGTGAGGGGCGGAGGTCACGCACGGAAGCAGGCTGCTAGTTCCCCAGGAGCCTCAGAGGTACTGACCAGGCAGAACACGCATTCCTCACCCCACGTCCTAGACGCTTGCAATGTGGACCTCGACGTGAATGAGAGGGAAGAGTTCTTGCCCCGGTGGACCAGGACCATAAGGCCTTGCAAATGCTGCACACGGGGACCAGAGTGAGGGGCGGAGGTCACGCACGGAAGCAGGCTGCTAGTTCCCCAGGAGCCTCAGAGGTACTGACCAGGCAGAACACGCGTTCTTCACCCCACATCCTAGACGCCTGCAATGTGGACCTCGACGTGAATGAGAGGGAAGAGTTCTTGCCCCGGTGGACCGTCCCCACCTTGGGTCCACGCCCCTCTGACTTCTTCCTCTCGCTGCCCTTAGACGTCCACGTCCCCAAGTCTCTGTCCTCGAGGCCTCGCTGCTCTCTTTAAACCCACACTGTCAACCTCATGGTTCATCCTCTCTCGTTGATGTGGCACCACGGGTGGTGACGGCTCTCTGGGATGTCAGTCTTGTCTCCGAGAGACGCCGCTGGCTGTGCACACCCCTGACCTCTCCCCACTCTCCCTTCTTCCAGAACCAGGGGCAGCCACCATGCAGCGCTGCCTCCTCCTGTGCCTGGTACTCCTCAGCCCGCAGGTGGCCAGCCTCCGCCACCACCACCCTCGGGCGGCAAAGAAGAGAGTCAGGGAGCTGCCTGTCGCCACCACAGCAGCCCCCAGTAACAGGGAATTTACCTTCGACCTCCTCAGGGCCTTGTTGGCAGCCAACCCCAACCAAAACATCATCTTCTCCCCTCTGAGCATCTCCGTGACCCTGGGCATGATCGCCCTGGGGACTGGATCCAACACGAAGGCACAGATCCTGGAGGGCCTGGGCTTCGCCCTGCAGGGGGGCCCAGAGGAGGAGATCCACAGGGTCTTCCATCAGCTGCTTCAGGAGCTCAGCCAGCCCAGAGAATACCTCCAGCTGAGCCTCGGCAACGCCCTGTTCGTCAAGTCCACGGTGCACATCCACGACGCCTTCACGAGTGCCGTGAGGACACTGTACCTGGCAGACACTTTTCCCACCGACTTTGGGGACCCTCAGGTGGCCCGGAAGCAGATCAACGATTACGTGGCGAAGCAAACCGAAGGCAAGATTGTGGACTTGGTTAAGAGCCTCGACGGCACCGAGGTCATGGTCATGGTGAATTACATTTTCTTTAAAGGTAAGTAAGACCCTTGGGCTCAAACTTGAACTTTCTCTTTCTCTTCAGCTGCTTTTGTTAAAAGAATACCCAATTCCCATGCACGTAAAGGGGTAGACATCGTCTTTTCTGGTGCCTAGGGACAGAGTGAAGCCGACAGCCAGCCACGGGCGAGGTGGTGCCTTCTCACTGTGCAGGGCGATGTTAACCAGCCCGAATGTGATTTCCTTCACTGGGAAAGAGCCGCTTTCTGTCCTTGGGCCCCTGGGCACACAGGTTCCACACCGGTTCTGAAGAGAGAGTTTGTCATGGCCACCGTGCCGGAGAAACTGACACTGTGGCCACTCGGGGCAGGACTGTGGGCCTTAGAGGACATTTCTCATCACTCCCTTGTCCCCAGATCCTCGCGTTCCTAGGGGTTATTTCCATAGCCAAGAAATCCCAGGGCAAGAGCCTGTTCCTCTGAAAAGTCTTCCCTCCCCTCCTCGAAGCAGATCTCCCCATCGTCAGCTCCCCGGCGCTCCTCACCCATCTCACACTGCTGCTTCTCCCTCGGGGCCCTGCATGGAGCCTGGCTGAGGCGGGGAAGGAGAAGGAAGGGGAGAGAGGCAAAGAGGAGAGAGAAAGTTAAATGCTAGGCACCTACCCCTTCCCATGGTCACGGATAGTGAGTATTAAGCTTGGACTCTAAGATTTCTTGTCCCCTAGTCCTGGGCTCTCCCCATGATACCAGGCTGCATAGGACAACTGTGCAATAAGCTCAGTGGGGTATTGGGAAGGGGTCACCATTTGATAGCTATGAAGAAGATGGAAAGAATTCCTTGGATCATTTTGATCGAGAAGTCCCATGGGAGACAGAGCAGGGAGCATAATTAAAGAATTCCCAGCAGGGAAGTCATATATTTCCGGGAAACTTACGAACCTCTCTCCCAAACTCAGATCAAAATCCAATGTCGGGAAAAGAGTAAAAGACAGAATAGCTCACCCAGATGTAGTGTAGCTTTATCAGCCACCCACATATTCTGCCCTCTTCACCTGTACATCTGACTTTCGGTGACGTCAGAGAGTCAAACCAACACCATTAAAGGTTAAGGCCCTTTGAAGATGTGAAAACCAACCTCCCGGAGAATTTCTCCTTTCTTGTTTGTGTCCATGTTTAGCTAAGTGGGAGACAAGCTTCGACAGCAAAAGCACCCAAAAGCATGCCTTCCACGTGACGTCAGAGACGGTGGTGCAGGTGCCGATGATGAGATGCGAGGATCAGTTTCTCTACCTCCAGGACCCGAGCCTCGCCTGCAAGGTGGTGGGGGTCCCCTACCAAGGGAATGCCACTGCTTTCTTCATTCTCCCCGGCGAGGGCAAGATGAGGAAAGTGGAGGCTGGACTGAACCAGGAGACACTGAGGAAGTGGCTCAAGATGTTCATGAAGAGGTACACCAGGAACGACCTAACCCTACATACCCCCGGGAGACACATGTCCCCGAGGGCCACTCAGAGGGGGTGGGAAGGACTCGCCCAGCCTAGGAAGGACTAGCTGCCTCTAGGCTCAGAGACATCAGGTGGAGTCCCAGCCCCCTGGGGCCTGGCCCAGCTGCACAGAACAGGGCTGGAAGCCTGCTTTCCTAGTGGTGCCATCAGAGTGGACCGTGACCTCTGGGGCAGCCCAAGTCCCAATCCAGAGGAAGGTGGGCTCTACTCTAGGAAAGGGCTGCAGGGTCATTATGAAGCTCAGGGGAGATGGTAGGAACATGAGCCCAGTGAGCCAAGGTTCGAGAAGAGTCTAAAGAAGGTCCTCATCTCTTTCCAGGAAGCTCCTGCTTTACCTTCCCAAGTTCTCCATTGAGAGCTCTTATCAGCTGGAGAAAGTCCTCCCCAAGCTGGGGATCAGAGACATCTTCACCTCCCATGCTGACCTGACCGGTCTCACCAACCAATCCAACATCGAGGTGTCTGAGGTGAGCCCAGAAGCTCCCGAGATGGCTAACCATTCCGTTCCATTCCATTCCATTCCATTCCATTCCATTCCATTCCATTCCGTTCCATTCCGTTCCGTTCCATTCCGTTCCGTTCCGTTCGTTCCGTTCGTTCCATTCCATATTCCTCTCTCTCTCTCTCTCTCTCTCTCTCCCAGTCTTTTGCTGATAATCAGCAACTCTCTCTCTCTCTCTCTCTCTCTCTCTCTCTCTCTCTCTTTCTCTCTCTCTCTCCTTTCCCCTCACGAAGCAAAGTGTTTACTCTGTGTCTTACAGCCTTTGTGCAATGGGGAAGCCATATGCAGCACTGCATCGGTGGCAGGAGCCCTGTATTAAGCAATCAAAACTAAAAATCAAGCGGTAGCTTCTTCACTCATGAGCTATGTGACTTCCAACAGTCACTTGACCTCTCTGAGCCTTCTTTCTCTCTATAAAATCAGAGGGTCACATTCTCACTGTGAGATGCCATTTAGAATTCAATGAAAGACCTGTGTGTACGTGTCACTTCTCATCTGCTTCGAGGCTCAGTTACACAGAGACTTTGACAGTGATGCCACAGGCAGAAGCTTTGCCATTTCCCGTGATGGCATCTCCCAGCCCTTGGTGACTTGGTGGTGTCTGGTGTCTCCCCTGCAGATGATGCACAAAGCCGTCGTGGAGGTGGACGAGTCAGGAACCAAAGCGGCTGCAGCCACGGGGGTGGCCTTCGCGTTTAGGTCGGCCCTAATGGCCTCCCAAAGGATAATGTTCAACAGGCCCTTTCTGATGTTCATTGTGGAGAATACTGAGAACATCCTCTTCTTGGGCAAAGTGACCCGCCCCTGAGGTGGGGCTTTCTCCTGAAAGGCCACGGGCCTCCCAGCTGGAAGATGAGGGTGCACAATGGCCATCTACCTGCTGAGAGCTAGTGATCTGTGCAGGTTTAGTTGACTAATGAGACTTTCACAATTAATAATACTAACATTGGTAATTGATGATTGCTTCTTTTCACACAATGGCAAGACACAGGTGCCTTGAAGAACCTTGAACATTTTTGGTCTTGCCCTCACCTTTCATCAGTAGAGATTACCACTGAGGCCCAAAGAGTTTGGTTCACTTGCCCAAGGTCACACAGTATGTTAGCGGCAGAGAGAAGCCCAGAAGCCAGGCCCCTGATTCCCAGCCCAGTGCCACAAAGCTCTACAAAAAGGTTGTTCCAGTAGACATTTCTACTAGGAAGTATATTTCCAAGCCTAGTCCCCCACTTGTCAGCAATACCAGCTACCAATTCATCACGGTCTGGAAAGAACATTGGAAAAGGGGTCTGGAACAGGGCTTCTGTCCCAGCTAACCACTGTGACATTGGGGTAACTGTCCTTTTTTGGACTTTGGTTCCCCCACATACACACTGAAGGATCGGGTCAAGGATCGAAGGGTTTTTGCAATCATATTAAAAAGCTAGGGCGTTACCTGCCAATCACAGTTGATTTCAATACATTCAAGTGCCACTCATCATTTAAGAAAAGCGAGTGGACGGCAGGGTTGAAATGACCCATCACGGGGCTGTACCATCTCATAGGCTTGGCCGTGGCTGGGAAAATGGGGGCCTGTTGCAAATAGTACAGTGTCAATCAAAGACACGGATGGCTAGCCATGATTTTTAGCGTCAGCCATAACAATAAAGCATGTTGCAAACGCTGGGTGCCATTGTCCTTAAGAAATAGTTCTGGGAATAGTGATATTAACAGCTTATCATGGGCCAGGCCAGGTGCTGGGCACGTCTCCTGGATTGTTGCATTTACCCCTCGCAGTACCCCTTCTGGAGCAGGCACTCCTATCTCCGTTTTGTAGATGGGGAAGGTGGTACTTGCAGGAGCAGACAGCTTACGCAGTCACACAGCTCCTGAGGGGTGGAGGCAGGATTTGAGCGCAGATTGTGGCCCCAGGCCCACACCGTCAGCCCTGTGCCCTGATGCAGGGGAGGCATGGTGGGGACACAGAAGCCTGGGTCAGGTGCATCTCATCTGGAAGCTCCCCTGTGATCCAGGTGGACTCACTCTCTTTTCCTTGTCTATTAAATGAAAGGGGATCAGACACTCTAAAGGGTCAATGAATAAGCAAATGAGCCCTTTCTCAGTCTCAAACTGCCCTCCAACTAGCTGCCCCCACCTCTGACGCCCTGAACATCCGCCCACTGCAACCTATGTGTCCCTAGCTTGCTTTTCATGAGGCTGCTCCCACCACTCTGGTCTCAGAGTCTAGACTATATCACAGAAGGTGCCTCTTCAAAGTAGCAAGGTCAGAACCCCAAGCTTTGACCATCTCCCAAAGTACTGAGCACCTATGTGCCAGCCCGGGGGGACACTTCACATGTGTGACCTCATTAATCCCTCAACAACCCTGCATGGTATATCAGTTGTACCCATTTTACAAAGGGAAATGTAAATGCTTGCCCACAGCTCCTCAGCTCATGACAGCGTGAGGCCTAGGCTCTGGGAACCAGACAGCACATGTGTTGGCTGATGGCAGGGCAGATGGCTGCAAACCAGCCCAGACAGCTTGTCTGCATTTGTGATTTGAACTCAACAAGATTGGGCTTTTCGGAGGGTCAGACCCGCTCCTACATGCCTTTCCCTTGTGAAATGCCTCATCTGTTTTGGCAAATATTTCTCTCAGTGTTTACCCGGGCAGCCCAAGGTCAGGGGGAGGCTCTGCCTGCATGATGTGTGTAAGCCCAAGGTCCAACACTGTCTAAAGTTCACTGGGCAAATGGTCACAAAGTAGCTAGTGTGAGATTGAGATAGGCTCCAGGTGCTGACTCATGAGCCTAGGCTGCGTGTCACGCACAGAAGTGCCCTGTCGGGTGTCCTCGCAGGCCGCATAACTCAGTTGTCACACGATCCTGGGATGAACGAGGCAGTATAACAGCTCAGAAAGAAGGAAGGAGAAAAGAGAGGAAATTAAATTCTGAGAGGTCAGGAAAGCTTTCATGAGGGAGGTGGCCTTGAGCTGGACTTGAAGAATAAGTAGGACGTCAACAGACAGCAGACGGGACGTCGAGGCAGAGGGAAGGGCTTGAGGAGCGTGCAGTCGAGTGAGCGGGGATGAGTGCGGGCAATCACAGAGACCGGTCTGGACCGGGGCGGGGCATGTGAAGGAGAGCAGGGGGAGCGAGGGGACTCGCGGTCCAGTGACAGGGACCCTGAACACAGTGGTGTTTGGTCTGTTCTCGCTCATCCCAATTTCAGGGTAGTGTGGCCATCCACGCCACACCCTGAGCATCCCCTGGGCCCCTTCTTGTCCCTCACTGTCCCATCCACACATCAATCAGTGCCTCCACTCCACCCTCTAGGGGGCGCTCATGTCCATCCGCTCCTCCAGCCCCTCCTCGGCTTGATCTCATCCATCCCAACCAGTGAAAAGGGAATGAGTCTGCAGGGCACCTGCACATATAGGTGTGACTGTCACCCCTCAGGACGCTTTCTTAGCCGCTGTATTAGCTTACTAGGTCTGCCATAACCAAGCACCCCAGACTGGGAGGCTTAACCACCGAAATTTATCTTACGGTCCTGGAGGCTGGAAGTTCAAGATCAAGGTGTTGGCAGGATTGGTTCATTCTGAAGCCTCTCTCCTTGGCTTGCAGATGGCCGCCTGCTCTGTGTCCTCACACAGCCCTCCTGCGTGCGCCTGCATCTGACCCTCCTCTCGTCATCTCTCAATCTCCACCAGCCATATTGGATGAGGACCCAACCGGTGACCTCATTTTAACACAATCACCACTTTCAAGGCCCTGTCTCCAAACACAGTCACATTCTGAGGCCCCGGGGGTCAGGGCTTCAAAATAGGAGTTTGAGGCAACACAATTTAACTCATACTAGTCACCCCATCTTTGAGTTCCTGCAGCTTTTACCAAGTTCATTCTTGTTCTTAGAAACCCATTTTTATATCCCTCTGACCTCATTAACCCTCAGAAGCTCCTTTTATGAGCTCCATGGCCCCAGCACACAGAGGAACAATGCCAGAGCCAGGACTTCTCCCTCGCCTCTCCCTACAGGGACCCAGACCAGAAAGAATGACCTCGGCCTCCAGGGAAAGGCTTCCCGCCCACTGAACAGCCATGGCTGGTTCACACCTGCTTATTTAGCTCATCCATCCAAAGGCCGTTGTTGATGGAGTGCCTACGGGGACGCAGGCATGGAGCTAGTCCGAGGGTACAAGGGTAAGCCCAGTGGACACAAGCCTTGGCAATAACTGGGTAAACAAACAAATAAACATAGGGTGACACATCGTGGTGACGGACAGCATGTATCCACAGATGTTTATTAAACATCCACGGTGTAACTGGCATCGTTCCAGATGCTACAGATAAAGGAAGAAAACAACAGAAATCTGTGCCCCGAGACTGACAGTCTAGTGTGGAGCCACCATAAAATGGAACAACCAAGGATAAAACAGAAACGTGAGGTGCATCGCATGTCGGTTGACGATGAGCGCTGTGGAATGTGAGCTGGACTTACTCTTGCTTCTGTGAGTAGATTAGCTCATGAGGGTGGAGCCCTCACGAATGGCATTAGTGCCCTTACGAAAGAGACCCTGCTTTGACCCTCCATGTGCTTCTCAAACGGGGGTGCGCATCACTTGGAGAGCTTGTCAATATGCATATTCCTGGCCCCAACCCAGGAGGCAGAATGATTGAGGCCAGGGCCTGGAACAAGCGCTCTTGGGATCTGCTGTCACAGTCCACGTGAACACAGGGGTATCCATTTCAGGGATGCTATGCCAGCACCCGCCTGCAGCTGCCACCGCCCAGCTTCAGTGACCGGAGACCCGCACACTCCAGGGCTGAGAGCCCCAGAGGCTCTTTGCTTTCAGGCGTGTTTCCAGCTCATCATTGCAAGGTAACAAACACACCCATCCAGGCACTTCCTCGCGATTCTGCCCAGGGGTCTCTCTTGGCGGAGCCTTCCAGACTCCCGCAGACCCATCTCTGGGCTCCCACCGTCCCCCACGCCTCCCTCTGTCACTTTCCACACTGGACAGTCACCTTCCCTCTTGTGTCTGTCTCTCACACACCACGAAAGCCATGAGGCTCAGTCACCTCTGCACCCCCCGTGCACAGGCCTTGACCCAAACAAAGTGAGCTCTTGACAAATGGGTGAATGAGTGGACGGGCGACATGAGGGGGGCTCCAGAAGATTCCAGGCCTCTGCAAGTCCTAAGGATGCTGCCTGAGACTCCCCTTTTCCTCACGCGCCGCACTCCCAGCATGCACAGCCTGAGCACCCCCTGCAAGTGGGCTCCGATAACGTAAAGGACGCCCAGAGAAATATGAGTTCCAGGTAATGAGTCACTTTTTAGTGTAAGTATATCCTAAGACTTATGAGGAATTTTTGTTTGCCAAATCTGGCAGCTCTCTCTGTAGGGAACAAGGATGCATGAGAAGCAGCCTCCCAGATGGTCAGAAGCCAACAGTCCTCATTGCAGAGAGCAGGGGAAGTCAGTCACGGGGACAGCAGGCAACGGTTACTTGCTGGAAGGGGATTGGGGACAGGTCTGGGCCAGTGGGACAGCCCGGTCTGCCAGGAAGGACCATGGAAGTCTTCCTGGCACGTATGATGCAGCCGGGAGTATGACGAGGACGATTCGTCCTGATCACATCAAACTGAAGCCTGAGACATAATGTTTTCCACAGGTCCCCTTGTTTGTAAAGGGACTTGAAACCCTTCCTTCTCCTGGCACAAGCCGAGGGACCCATGGACTCTGCAGCGACAGCTCTGCTGTAGGAAATGTGTTTGGGGCCCCGCAGTGCTGATGTCCCAGCTGCGGAGGTGGGTGGGACCAGACCC